TGTTCCCTGCCCGGCCTGGTGCAGGTGCAAGGGTTACAAATCCTCCTTTGCCCCCTAATCCCCATCAACTCTTCACTCGGCCTCTCCAGGGCAGGGAGTTACTCACGGGTGTTTGTTTTCAAGGGCCACGGGCAGCTTCAGAGCTGTGCCTTCGGCAGGGTGATAGGGAGATAGTATACCCGTGCCTTGGGTGTGCGGGGGAGGGGCAGCAACGGGTATACAGCGATAGTTACTTGTGTTTGGAGTCGGTGTCTGTGTGGTATTCGCCTTTCTTTGGGATAAATAGAGCACAGTTCTGTCAAATGGTAGGTGACGTGTTCTTGCTGGGGATTTGATCTCTGGTTTGGTCACAGGGGGTTCTGGTAAAGCTCTCACATTTTGACGTTGCCTTTGTTGGACCAAAAGACACCCTAGGAGAAGTTGAGTTTACAGAAGATAGTGTTTGTCATCCTCTTATTCCAAGAAAAATAGAGAAAACAGTTGTTTTGAAGAATGGTTAGGGTGAGATACTGATTGGAAGGAGAATGGGTTACCCAGAATGTATAAAAAAGAGGTTTTTTGTTACTGCTTTTCATACCTGGAAAGAATTCTCTGTCAGTATTGACAGGATACTGGAAATTAATATTCACAGAAAGCAAATATGAGGAAAGTGAATGGGTTAGCATGTTTTTAGAAGCTTTTTAAGGGATTCTTATTCAACCATTTTTGCTTTGAAGGTTTTCTGAGCAGCATGAGTTCAAAAAGCCAAATGATGACCGTGCTCTTCATCTGATGACCAAGTGTGCCCAGACAGTGATGCAAGAATTGGAGGATATTGCTATTGCTTATGGACAGAGTGATGAATATAGTTTTGTTTTCAAAAAGAAGAGTAGATGGTTTAAAAGAAGAGCAAGGTAACAGCTGCTTTGATACTGAAGTGAACTTGGTTTTAACATCTCTCTCTAAACATGTAATTCTTCTTTAGATTTGCCTTTATCTACACGCAGAGGTTAGGAGTAGGGCTGTGTTTTAAACAAACATTAGAAACAAACATTGTTAGAACAAACGTTCTTTTAACAAAATGTTTCCTTTTCCAAACTCTTTCACTTGATTCTCAGTACTTCCTGTTCTTCAGAAGAATCTATGCCATAGCTGATATGTTAGGCCATTGTTTAAGAAATGCTGCTATCCACCAGAATTATCGCTACTGATACCTCAGATAATCACAGATATATAATCATATTGATGTGTGTGTTTCTTTTTTCCTTTTGCTTTGTGTTTGCAAGTAAGTTCATCACTCATGTGGTCTCCCAGTTTGCCTCAAGTTACGTTTTCTATTGGAAGGATTACTTTAAGGACCAGCAACTTCTGTACCCACCAGGATTTGATGGACGAATTGTCTTGTATCCCAGCAACCAAAATTTAAAGGACTACCTCAGCTGGAGACAAGCAGATTGTAAGCCTTTCTAGAAAACGGAGATTTGTACAGTTGAGTTCTCTTCCTTGCTGAATAGAAATGCCTTTATTGCCAGTGTATTTGTACATACAGGTATCAGTGAAAGAACAGCAGGTAGGATGGTTAGAATATTAGAATTGTTTTGCGCTTTGTATGGGTGTAGAAATACTGGCTGAAATTCTGAGTCTTCCGCCTACAACTGTATTTGTTGCATGCTGGGAGTGAGTTCAGCCCAGGAAATATTAGAATTATTAATAGAATTCATTTATTATTTTTTATGTTCTGGGTTTGTTTAGCCAAGGTAATCTTCTTTAATGAAGAGATGTGAATGTTCAAATTCATACCATGTAGCAAAATTGTAGCAATCAAAAGTGCTGTTTATTCCATGCTAGAATAGACCATTGGATTTAATTTCTAGACTTTCGTAAGTACCTAGTCCCCGTTGCTCAAATATGTTACACATAAATACCCCTCACCCTCTGCTCTCCCTTTTCAGAATTTTATAATGAAATCTATCTTCTTGTCATTCTTACAATATGCAGTACCTTAAAATGAATCAGAAAGATTGTATCTTCTCTAGCAACTGATATTATTAATTCCCCTTTATTCTTAGCTTTTTCTTGGATATGACTCTGGAAATAAAGTTGTTTTTTCTGAGCAGTCATTCAGGTTTGGTAAATACTCTTTCTCTCACTCTTTTCTCTTTTTCTGTAGGCCATGTTAATAATCTTTATAATACAGTGTTTTGGATGCTTGTACAGCGAAGTGGTTTGACACCAGTGCAAGCACAGGATAGACTCCAGGTAAGAGTCTCTTGAGGTCTTTTGATTTTTTTTTTTTTCCTAGCTACAAAGAAAATCATAAAATTTGCTAAGCTGTGTCTTACCTAGCAGCCCTGGCTGGCTTGTCCGTTCTTACTGTAATAATTTTGCAGTGTAGATTCAACAACTTATTGAATTGTACAGATGTTAATATGATTAGCAAATAATGTATTTTTGGTCAAATATTAGCAGGATTTTGATTTCTTAATTGGCAAGTTCAGAAATCTTAAAAATGTCCAATAAACATCCAGTATCTGTAAGAACAAAGTACAATGGCAGGATTCAGCTACTGTTGATTCCCAGTCCCTTCTGTAGTATTTTGTCTCATTGTGCAGACTTCAGCAGATTATTTCTGTTTTCTCCTGGAGTCTGTTGACTTTCTTCTATTTGTCTTGAAAATGTAATAAAAACCTCTCTGTTTTAATATCCTCATTTGGCCGTTGGAAATAATTCCTCTGTTGGGAGAGGTAATTAAACCTTGTAATTTAAAGGTGAAAAACCTGTATAAATGTCAATCTTACTTCCAGTATTCATCCATCTTCTGCCGTAGAGATTCAGTTTGTTTGTTTGTTTTCTATAAGAGTACTTTTTCTTTTCATTTCCTCTCAGGGAACTTTGGCTGGAGATAAGAATGAAATCTTATTTTCTGAATTCAACATCAACTACAACAATGAACCTTTGATGTATAGAAAAGGAACTGTCTTAATATGGCAGAAGGTAAAAAACTGTATTACCACTTCCTTCATGCTCACGTTTTAAATAGCTACACTATGGCAGACAAGCTACACTGTAAGATCACCAGATGTATCCCAAATGTATGTCTATGGATACATATATTTTAAAACTAACCATATTTGCCATATAATGATGTGTAAGATGACTAATTGTTTTGGAAGTGTTTTTGAAATATCTTTATCTATGAGCATAGCACAAAGACTAGTCTCTGAAATCTGGCTTAGGTACAAATTATGACTGTTGAGATAAAATCTGTATCAGCAGATGACAATGTATATGTAGAATTTCACAAGACTAATGTATTTGCTAGATAAATCTCCCTTGTTTAATGAATCATACAGTTGGTTTCTTAGTGCTACCAGCTTTGAAAATTGAAGAAGTATGCTGCTTCCTGAAAAATTACATTTTAATGCCTGTTGTCCGTTTGATATGGTAATCATTGGGGCCTGTGCCAGGCCCTTCACAGGATTAGATCTCAAGTATTTCCACTGCAAAAGTATTACGAACTTTCGTTCATTAAGGTAGCTCAGCTCATAGTTTGCGTAGTCCTTTTCTTCTGTAAAGGAGCACAGTAAGAAGTGCAGCTGTTAATGGGGAATTCCTGTTGAGGATAACTTGGAAATTTTCATCATTCTCGGATTACATCATTGATGCAGAATTAATTTAAGAAATTCCTGTCCTGTGTTTTGCATGAGATAACACCCCAGAAAATCATAAATGTTTATGGCCTCAGTGTCCTTCTGTAGTAGATCTTAATTAGAAATATGTATGTTTCATGTGATCAGGACCTGGTCAGTCTATGCTGAGAGTTCTTCATAACTTGTTCAGCCTTTCAACTTCTATATGTAAAAAACTGCTAATCCTTTTTTTTTTTTTTTTTTTTATTTAATTTAATTTTGGCCAGTGACTTTTAAGCAGTTCCAAATGAAATAATAGAATGGATAGAGGTTCCCACCTGGAAATATATTCCACTTGTTCCTTATACATACTTTTTTTTCTTGGTAATTGTAGACATTTGCAAAGTTTCCCATTTTTTTTATATCGCTCCAAATTAAGTATTGTACTTTACTCAAGAATACTTGCAATCAGTTATGTGAATTTGCAGGTAATTTCTTCAAGCTGTGTGATGATGGCATGCAGTTTCAACTGCTCATGTGTTAGTCTTTGAATTGAGAATAGACTCTCTTTCAAAAGATTCAGTGTTCAAATTCTGTAGTATGCTATAGGGTTGATAGTTGCTTTTGTTGTAGCTTTGTTGTCCATTTGTGAATCCCCTCTGGAGTCTTATATGTCTGCTAATGTGTCAACTGTATTTTCAGATTAATGAAGTCATGACTAAGAAAATAAAACTGCCAAAGGAAACGGAAGAAAAGGAAGTTGAAGTGACCCGGACTAGGACTAAAGTTGTTCCCTTGCACTGTGACATCATTGGGGACCAGTTCTGGGAGGAATACCCTGAGATTCTGGCTGAGGATAGTTGATATCGCTGATGAGTATAACTGGTAGTTTATGTTTTGCTCTGCCTGGGTTGTTGGCAAGTGAGGAGTATGAAAGGTGGCTGGCAGAGTTTAACCTGAAACCCTCTTCAACGACGACATTGGTTTTAGCACCGTTGTTGCCTGAAAAAAAGACACTAGTATATTGTCTGACATACAAGGATACACCCATATGGAAAGCCTAAAATCATACTATATTTTGAATGTTAAGAACTCATCATAAATTAAGACTGCTCCTTGTACATGCATATTTGTAGAAAAAAGTGTATAGAAATTTCATGCATTTCTGTAGCATTTAAACCCTGAGGTATTTTACTGAACTGCCAAACTATAAAAAAAGCTTGCATATTTGAGCAGTTAAAAGCAGAGGAGAGAATAATCATTTTGATATTTGTTTCAACTGAGACAGACCAGAATACTTCAATTGGCATTTAGTATTAAATTTCAAGGCCAGTGTGTTTAGTCAGATTAGTGACAAACTGTTCAACTGGCTAATGTCTCTGATTCTTACGGAAAGGAAATGAAGTAGCCCAGCAGTTTCCTATGACTGATTTTAAAAGCTTTTGTCAAATGTACAGGATTTTTATACTTTTTAAAAATTTAAAAAAAAAAAAAAATTCCCTGCTGTGTTTATTACTCGGCCTTTCTCATTCCTGGGACTTTTACTAATAATTGGTGAAAGTTCCAAACAGTGAAGTTAATAATAAAGATACTGTACAGACTTGAATTCTCTTAGGACATGGGTAGACATTGTGCTCTCATCTTCCATGGCCTGGGAAGTCATCTATCTCCTACTGTGCAGTTGAGTGAAAGGTATCAACACAGGAGGAACGTTCCTGGTGCCTGCAAAGAGGGTGCTAACAAGAACTTGCATTGCTGTTCTCTGATTTTCCTGGGGATGACACAGATGTAGCAGTCCTGGCAATACATGTTAGTTAGAGGGAAGGGGGTAGCGTGTGTTGCCTGGTCTATGCACTGTTTTGTTCTGGTTTAACTATCAGTTAAGACCCTTTGTCAAAACAGTTAAATCAT